TCGTTATCAAATTTTGCAGAATGGACTCCCACAACAGTGAACTGCACAAGAATGAGAACAAATATACGATCATCAACTAATGGGGCCATAGTTTATAATTCTGCCAACTGGCACATGATTCAGCCGGGTAAACATTATCGATTTTTTAGATGGAAAAATTTCAAAAGGACATGGAAGAAGTATGTATTCTATTAAGAAGGAAAAAGAAATCGAAGCTTATACAACTTTGTTAATTATAACAAGCAATCTCATAAAATCAGAATGTAAAATAATAAATTTGATATGTCAGAAAAATAGAGAAATTTGAAAGAAAGAGAATGAAAAAAGGATTACCGGCATATCTTTGTATTTTTTCTCCAGAAACTCTAGGTCTGGCAGGACATGCATACAGTTTATACAACAATAGGTCCAAAAATCTAGCAGAACAACTTTTCCTTTCAGATCCTGCCAAACATATTTATCAAAACTAAAGCTATACAATAATCTTGGTTTAACCATGTAGAAGTTTAAGTTTTATACAAATTACCCTGCTAAACTTAATGGGAGCTGTATTCAACCAATCAAGTTTTGCTGGAAATTCTGGCACGATAGGAGCAGTTCCTCTTGCAAAGTAAAAGATCATTCATTTAAGCAGGTTTTACATATATAATTATGCAAACTAACAACAACAATATACGAATAGCTACAAATACAAATTATATCAAAAAAGGCAGCAAAATCCTTATTTACCTAGTTTCCAGGTCCGATATATAGTTCACAAATTGTTGGATTCTTTCCATGTTTGATTCACCTATAAAATAATTAATGGAGGACAAGAAAATTGTAGTTTTCATTTTGCTGTAACTACGAATTCATAGAGACATGTTAAACAGATAAATAAAATTAGGTTTCAATGTAAACTTATCTTTTCATAATAAATGTACAATTACAAAAGATAAAGAAGGACTAGGCAGAAGAAAAAAAATGCAGCGGGGGAAAAGAATGTACCAAAACCAGAGGTGTGACATCAGTACCTTCCTTCTGTTTAAGAGATGGCTGGTTGATCCCAAATATCACATTCCAAATAGCTTTAGGTGATACATATTGCATTGCCTGTGTAGGAACCTCAGTAGAATGTATAAATTACAGAAACTAGAATAACAAAGAAGAAAAAATGATTAAGATGTCATCTATTGCATGCATAAAATTCAACCCGGAGATCTCTCCCTCTCTCACTCTTTGTCTTGCCAAGAATTCTACTTTATTGAGTTATACCTTCCAGTTTGAGATGGTGAAGGCAAGACAAGACAAAGCAATCCCCAAGCTTCCATATCTCACAATATCTCGCCGAAGAACCCTGCAACCTGTCCACAAATTATTCTGCAGCCTCAAGCTAAGGTGGCTGTTTGTTTGATTTGAAAATGCAACCATATGAATAGGTGACACTGCTCAATATTACAATCGTTAAGTATAAAATCTTCCAAATGTTTGTCAAGCATATACAACTTCAGGGAAAGAAGTTGATTGACCAAATAACAAGGAACCTACATTCCAGAGGACATATCACCATTGCACTATGAGAAACACTTTCAGGGGGACTTACTGTAATGTAAACCCACAAACCAAATACATAGCATATAGCACTAGAAGTGTAAAAACAAATTGGCGCAAGTATGTCTTAGGCTGTTTCTACTAGCATGATTTGTTGGGAAAAATTTAAGGATTGATTAATACATGAAATATACAAATAAATAACACATGCTCCCAAATAAAAAATGGTTTATTAATCAAAATAACACAATTGAAATGTTGCAATTATAGAACCCTTCTTACCCTCCATCTGAGAAAACCCTGTCATTGGAAGTACCAGTTTTCTGCAGTAACCCATTATTTTCTTCTGTGAGTTTTTCTGTTGTGTTTTGAGATGACATATAAGGAAATTGGGGTCCCTGGATCTTCCCATCTGCAGTGGCATGTCAACATAAGATCTCATGTTCCATAAGATGTATAATCTAAAAGATTACCCTGTAAAAGAGTTGGTAGGCGAACAACAGCGTTATAAGCTTTTAAGATATTATCTTTATCGAACTTGAATCCAAACTATAGATCAATCAGATTCAAAAGGTGCATTTAGAAATAAATAAGGAAAGAGTTCCAATACAGAAGATGCCCCTTGCAAGAAAATTGGTCTTATAATAGTCCTTAAAAAGTGCCACTAGTGTAGCTTCACCATTCTACATTCTTGATGGTACAAAAATGACATTTGCAGCATATTCTCAAAACTACATACTATAGCCACCAGAGCCACCACTGAGAATATCATCAAGTGAAACATTTCCTATTTCATTTCGAATTAGGGATGGACCAGCAGCCTTTAGAGTCTCTTCTGATAAAGTAGTTTTGACAGCTATGCATCTACAGGCAGCAGAACAAGATTAGCAGTTGCCACAACTATAATCCTTAGTTCTAAGTTAAAAGTAATGTTAGAGCACATAAATGATTAGTGTAAATGGTGATACAAGAAGAAATATAATAGATCCAACCCAACATGTTGATTCATGTAATTTAAAATGAAGTTTTTGCAAATTTACCTCATTTTTGCAGCTTTGGCAGCCTGCACGCCAGCTAGTGCATCTTCAATAACAATACACTGCCAAGACATAGGCAGACATATAACACCTTAAGAACATGAAAATGGAAAGTGAAGTAATTAACATGACATATACTGTTAAATGCAGAATAAATATGCAGAATGACCTCATTATTTAGCTTATGGTAAAAGCTAACAAAATCAACCTTTCATGGAACATTTTGTGAGACACCCAATAAAACAAGCTTTTATTACTTATACCGTTAGAACTTTATTGTATTTATCTATCCTTTCTTTTCTTTTCTTTTTCAAATTTCTCCTATTTTGTTCTTGAAAATTCTTCTTTTTAAGAAAATAGCAGAATCTTCTAGTGTACCTCACTAACGGGCACATCCAAGATCTTCGATGCAGCCAAGAAGATATCAGGAGCAGGTTTCAGTTTCTCAAAAGCATCTGCTGACACAATAGCATCAAACCTGATAAAAGGATAACAAAATAAGAGGAGTAAAAAATTAATGATCCTACAAAAATATGACAAACTTGAGAAGCTGACTAGACGGGCTTACATTGACAGTGGTAAATTAGCGGCAGCTAGATTTGCAATAACCTTGATACGATCAGCACTAGACGCAACAGCAACTTTAAGGCCTTTTCCTTTACACTGTTTTACGGCAGAGAATACTAAAAGAATAACTAAATGAAGTAGCAGAATAGTAATATTGTTTCAATTATGAGTAGTTTCCTTGATACCTGAGTAATGAGTTCAAGGGCACCAGGGAATCCTATTCCAGAATTTGGTTTTGCATACTACAAGAAATTAAATAAGTGTTACGGTTAGGGCAACTTGATGACTAAAGAAATTCACGCTTGTTGCAGTATACTGATAAAATTACAAAGACGACTGACAAAATTCATTAACCTTATCTAAATATATCTCAAAGAACCTCTTCTTTGCTGCCTCAGGATCGAATCCCTTTACCCCCTTAACAGCAGCAACACCTCCTAAGAAGTTCGCTTCACCTAGTACATTGATGCAAAACAGGAACATTAGCAAAAAGAAAAACTTTTCCATAACAAAACTGCACTCTATCAAATCAGAACGTTGGCCCATCACATATGTTGTTAGTAATTAGAAATGCCAAACTTAAAAGGGAAAATCATCTTAATTTTCAAATACAGATGATTCAACTAGCAACTATAAAAATTCACAACCACCTTTCTTATAGTTTTGTTTGCAATTTTACCATGCCCAAGTCAAATACATGTAACAAAGACTAAAAAATCTACACCAGGTCGATAATTCATTGCACTAAAAAGAAATTTTTAATCTTTACCAGTTCCCATGAATGGCACAAAGTCTTCCACTGTGACTTCAACCCCCATCTCTGCGAAAACATCGACACCGGCCAATCTAGAAGGCTCTTCGCTGTCGCAGAGTACTCCATCCATGTCAAACAACACAGCAGATACCTTCCCCCATTCACTTCCAGAAGATCCTTGCACATTTTTCTCTTCCACTTTCACACAAGCTTTCACAACCATTTTCTTTGAGAAATCGAATCGCTTTGGCCTCCATTGGAAGAGGTAGGTTGAGAGTGAAATGGGTTTTCGTCCTTTTGAGCTAGCATATAAAGAAGAGAGCTTGGTGGGTTGTGAGAGAGAAGATGGTGGCGATAGTAGTTTCATGGCCATGGGAGTTGAGTTGAGTTGAGCCAACTGATTCTGTTTGTGAGTGGCGGGGAAGGGGTTTCGTTATATAATATATTTTCGTACTGTTACGAAATTGCCCTTACTGTTTCTTGCATGTCTGTGCTGGTTTCTTGTCATTTTGATTTTTCTTTTGTGGTGGAGAAATGGGATCATGTTCAATTTATTATCCACTTCTTCAAGCCTCCCCCTCATTATAAATTTTATCTCAAGCCTTTTATTTATTTATTTATTTATGGATGAATTTTTATGTCATCAGATACCAATCATAATTTTTTCTCAAAAAAGAAAAACCAACCATCAATTATGAAATTGTGATTACTCCACCACATTTCTGCCACTCATATCAGAGTGCCCATATTCAAAATCTTACATTTCACTCAGTCATGATGCAGAGACATTTCTTGTATAATTTTTAATCGTTGAATTCAATATATTCAACCCCTCCATTAAACAGCTTAAGAAAGAAAGACAATGTGTATGCTGAGAGAATTTGATCTTTGTTTAGTTCTTGTGTGTTATATTTGCTATGATATGCAAAGATACAGAGCTAACAACATGCAAAGCCTATCTTTCTTTGGAATGTCAAACTGCCATTCCTCCCAACAAAATCATGAGCCTTGTTCTTTCTTCATTGCTGGATGGAGTTTTCAAACACCATCTCTTGTGTATGTTCCCCAGCTCCACCTACATTGACACTTTTAAGCTTAACAAATTCAAGACCTCACCAAAAATCCTTGCAGGAACATCTTCCATTTCTGAAATGATGATAGCGCATACGGTCCCTCACAATTATATCACGCTCGTATACTTTCGAAAAGATCTTTATGGCAGAATGGCAATCCTCACAAGTTCTTAAGTTCTTCATAACACGGATGGTTGTTCCAGGTTTCGTGTTCAGGACACCGAAAGCAATAGCAAGCTTTTCGCTGTGGTATTGCAGTGCAGTTTCCTTCTCCTCCTCTGCAATGTCAAACAAAACTTGGGAGCTATTTGGTGAGTAACCCTCCATCTGCAGCTTCTCTATGATCGTTTCCAGCATCAAATAGACCTCTTTCATTTGCGGGTGTGACCCTTCTCCCACTTTGAACTCATGAACCATGCCACCAATATCAACCATGCTAATTCCAGGACTTGTCTTGACCCCCCTTTCCTTCATCAACGTTCTAACTTTTTCAACATCATCCCACCTGCCTGCCTTTGCATAAATGTTAGACAACAATGCATAACGGCCGCTATTTTGAGGCTCCAATTCAAGCAAAATCCTTCCAACTCTCTCTCCCATTTCAACATTTCCATGTATCCTGCAAGCACCTAACAAGGCCCCCCAAACAGCTGCATTGGGTTTCATTGGCATTGAATTTATAAGCTGCTCAGCCTCTTCCAATTGCCCTGCCCTTCCAAACATATCAACCATACACCCATAGTGCTCCACCTCAGGCTCAATACCATAAAATTTCTTCATAGAACTAAAGAAGTTTAGACCTTTATCGACAAAACCCGAATGAGCACAAGCATTTAGGACATTCAGAAAAGTAACTCCATTTGGTTCTAACTTACTCCTCTGCATCTTGGAGAAGAGATCGATTGCATCATCTGCTTGACCGTGCATAGCAAGCCCGCCAATCATGGCATTCCATGTGGAAATCTCTTTCTGTTTGATATTTTCAAACACTTCCCAAGCCATGTCGAGCCGCCCACATTTGGCGTACATATCAAGCAAAGCAGCCCCTAGCACTGCATCCAATTTAATGGTGTTCCTCTTGATATAAGCATGAACCCACTTTCCTTGATCAACTGCTCCGACATTGGCACAGGCAGCTAGCACACTTGACAAAATAAATTTTCTCGGACTAAGTAAGTTCTCCTTCTGCATCTCATTGAAAATTTCCAAGGCCTCCTTGTGACACCCTCCTTTTATGTAACCATCAACCATGGCACTCCAAGATATCTCATCCTTTTCACTCATGCCATCAAACAACTCCCTTGCCTCTTTCAACATGCCACATCTAGCAAGGCCACTCACCATTGCATTCCAAGATCCAACATTTTTACTTGGCATATGCTTCTCAAACAATTCTTTAGCTGCTTCTACATCTCCACATTTCATGTAACCATCAATCATCGCGTTCGAACAAATCACATCATTCGATTCCGAAGCCTCATCTAGCATTCTCCTTGCCTCCTCTACAAGCCCAAATGATGCATACATCTGAATTCCAGCACTTCTTATGTGCCCATCTTCACCAAACTGATTTTTGACAACATGTCCATGAATTTGCAGAGCTTCCTCTACAGCTTGAACCAATGTGCAGGCCTTGAACAATATAGAATAGGTGAACTTATTAGGCCTAGCATTCATAGCCACCATCTTACAATAATATGATATACAACTCAAGGCCTCATTGTTCTCTAGGCAACCCTTAATTACAATATTCCACACAAAAACATTGGGCCTCCACACAGAATCAAAGACCTTCAAAGCAAACCCAAAGTTGCTGAAATGTTGACTTGCATAGCATTTAACTAGGGCCCCTGCCACATAATGGTCTTGAAAGTGGCCTGACCTCAGGGCAACACCATGGGCTTGCTTGAGATGTTGTAAAGAAGTGGTGCATTTTGTGTTTAGGATGTGTAAGATTGTTTTCTGGGAGAGTTTGGAGGTGGAAGCTGTGCTCTCTGCTGAGACTTCTTTTGGTTTGATGCGATGAGGAAGATTTGTGGTGGTGGTGGATGTGCTCATCTTGGCTCTGCTATGTTATCCAGTCTTGGCTAATAGTCTCTGAGGTACAGACTGCAGAATATAAAAGTCAGACTGCTAATGTCGTTTGCAGCTTTTTTCTTCTTTTCTTTTAAACTGGCGACATGTCGTTTGTAGCTTGTTTTAAAATGGACGACATAAGTTGGTTCTCTAACCGTTGTTCTATCTTTGATTTAAACACTGAGGACAATGTTTTTTTTAGTACAAGCTATGGTCTAAACTATAAAGGATGAGGATTTCTTATACACACACAACTATGATGTTTTGGGAATTCAAACCTGATACCTCTGGTTTGCAAGTCAAGGCCATTTTCCATCGTAAACTCAATCTTGAGCTGGAATTGAAGGAGTTGGCAGTGTCTTCAGCTGGAATTGATGGAGTTGGCAGTGAGCAGGGACAGACCCACAGTGGGGTCACTGGGGTCAAACGACCCTATGGAAGCCATGGAAATAGGCTTGGAGGTCCACTTGAGCTGGCTGTGTGACCCCTTGGATTGCCCTCCAAGTGTTTGATGTTTTGCCTGAGAGGAAGAGAGAGGAAGCTGTGCGCAAGAGGAAGAAGAAGCAGCGCAACGCACTTCTGTTTTTTTTTAAACACCTGGGCAAAACGACTTCGTTTTGGCCCAGGAAAATTTTTAAAATTAAAAACCCTTCCATATCCCTCCATTCTCCAACATTAACCTGTTTGTTGTAAATACATGCATGTGGAGCCCACATTTCCCTGTACAATACCTGATGAGCACGTTTCCTCCCTTCTATAAAGGTAGGCATCATCTTCATTGTAATGATTGATCAATCTGAATAAAACTCCCTAACTAGGATTTCTCTCCCTTTCAATTCTCTCAATCTTTCAGTTTCTCAATCTCAATCTATTTAGTTTATAACACTGTTTTTAAAAAAAAATCTTTTTAACCTGTTTTATGAATTGAAACACTCAAAAACATACATAAAAAAATGACAAATTGAAATCATTCAAAGTATATTTTTCTAATAAAGGAATAAAATTTGGAAGAGAAAAAATAGATAAGAAAAATAACCCATTTTTAAAATTTCTTTCGAACATTTACACTATGACCCTACGGAGTTCGGATCCTAGGTCCGTCACTGACCAATACTATCTTCAATTTAATTACTTGGGCTCAAAAATTATCTTTTTACCTTATGTCCTTGTTCTCCTGTATGCTTTTGATTTTTGTTTTTAGGGTTTGTGAGGAAGATTATATGAAATTTGCTTGGGCTTTATTCTTTGGAAAAAAGAAATGTGTTGTTTTTATATTATTTTTGTTGGTGTAATTAGAGGGGTATATATTATGCCAAAATTTCAGTTCAGTTTTTAAAGATGATTCTGTCAGTTGCATGATGGATAGCCGATATTTAATAATATAGTTATTTGTTGATGGTATCATAGATGCAAATTCCTACAAATTTTTTAACATCATCACCCTTCCTTCTCCCTGCTTGCAAACAAAGACTAGGGCTGAAGAACCAGAGACTACATAACCAACGGAAGAAGAACTTATTGCTTATTTTTGTAAGCTCTCTATGCATTCGTTGTTATCCCGTGCCATGTTGAAAACAGCTCGTATGTTAAAAGATGATTTCTCAAGCCAAGTTATTTTGGTGTTTGCATGATGTAGAATTGATATTTAATAATATAGTTATTTGTTGATGAGATCATAGATGTCGTTCCTTCTAACTTCTTTGACATTATGACCCTTTTTTTGTTCTTTTTTTCCTTTTGTATTTAACAATATAATTGCATGGAAACAGGGAGCAAGACTGAAGAATCAGAGGATGAAGAATCAATGGATGGGAAATCAAAGGATGAAGAATCAGACAATTGGAAATCAGAGGTTGAAGAATCAGATGATGAAAAATCTAAAGGATGGAGAAAGTTATGGTAAGCAATTGATTTTAGGGACAAAAAAAAGAGGAAAAAAATTGTTCCTTGCAGCTTCTCTTTTTACATGTATATTCATTTTTTTTTATCGTCTGACATAATATCTATGTATTTGTTGTTATTCAATATAATGTGTTCATACTACTGATTTTTGGTTTTATGATCTTCATTCATTCATTGTCTTTAAAAAAATGTTATTTTTATTACTTCCATTGTATTTAACAATGGATCTACAAATTGCACACAGGGGAATGTAAGTATTGTTTGAAGGTGGATAAGCACCCTACACAACTATGCTCTTATAGGTATCGAGTCCCAAAGAACGCAATTGTTGGCGAGAGTTGTGTGGTTGCATGTCGTGTATGTGGCTACATCTTTAGAGACTCATGTTGTGCTGATTGTGGTCTGAGCGTAGGACGTGCACTTCTTAAGGAATGTACAATCTGTGGGAAGGAAGAAGAACACTCAAATTTGAGTGCCCGGAACGCAAGGAGAAACGTAAGAATTCTGGTTTTACTTACGACCCTTATACTGGTTCTTTTTTTGTCGAGATTCGCCCTTTGAAATAGGAGAGAATGAAGAGTTAATTGTACTCTAGAGTTAAAGCAAAAGAGCAAGGAGTGCTATTTTCCATAAATGCTATGCATCCTATCATTTTGATGCCTACATCGTGTATTGTTTTTATCACAAATGAATTGCAATTTGCAGCACATGGTCTATTATATTGTTATGCTTGAAGATGTGAGAATCCATCTATTTATAAAATGTCTAAAGTAAAAGGTGGTTTTTATCTCAACATTTTGTTCTTCTCTTATGGGGTTAACATACTGAATTTTAATTTAAAGACTTAGCTAAACAACTGGGCATGAATGACCATTGTTATGTGCAAAAGTTTAAATAACGAAGGTAGAATGCAAAAGTTTAAGAAAAGTTTCAAGTTGTATGTTGGGAGGAAGTTGAGTGGATCTGCCCTTTCTCTTGGTGGTGCTGTTTTCTTATCGAAGGCTAAGGCAAGTGGCCATTGCTGGGTTCGAGTTTTGGCACTGAGCTTGTATGTTATGTTTTATGTTTGGTGTTGCCTTGTAGAGAGCTGGATTTATAGTTAAGTTTGTCCTGGCCATGTGCTTATTGATGTGTATACAGAGAGAAGAAATTGGGCACAAAAAATTTCGGCATCCGATTTAGGAGAAGCCCCTCTCAGTGGCTTAAGATCAATACCAGTTTCTCCTGCCAAGTCATAGAGTTGTTTGTTTTAGAGACTTGGTTTCTTCAGTATCATAAATGACCCAATTCTACTTTTGCCCTGAATACCATATCTGTCAATCCACGAGTAACAGAAAGGCAACTGGAAGAGGGCACAAGCATATGAATGATCATAAAGTTCGGCCACTATATAATAATTCGATATATATTATTTTTATTCGGTAATATGTAAAACTGTGTGTATAATACGTGAATTTTGTGTGTATTGTTTACAATTTTGTAAAAACACGTGTATTAAACACACAAAAACACGTGAATTTTGTGTGTATAATACGTGTATTAAACACACAAAAACCCAGTATCGCCGTGCGGCTATACTATTTATTAAAAGAAACTTAGCAAGAGTACTGTTTCAGAAGAACAAAAAGGACAAAAAATACAGTATAGCCGGCCGGCTATACGCTTGAAATATATTGCGGCTAAACTATTCTTCAAAGATATTTTCAAAAAACCCAGTATAGCCGCGTGGCTATACTATTTATTAAAAGAAAATTAGCAGGGGTACTGTTTCGGAAAAACAAAAAGGTCAAAAAATACAGTATAGCCGGCCGGCTATACTCTTGAAATATATTATATTCAATAGTATAGCCGTGCGGCTATACTATTTGTTAAAGAAAATTTTTAAAAAACCCCTGCAAGAGTGGGTATGAATCGATTTCTTATTTTTCCTTAGGCTTATATAATAATTTGATATATATTATTTTTATTCACTAATATGTAAAATTGTGTGTATAATACGTGAATTTTGTGTGTATTGTTCACAATTTTGTAAAAACACGTGTATTAAACACACAAAAAATCCGCACGTACGTGTATTGTACGTTTTTCTTGTGTACGGAAAATGAAAGTATTGTTGAAAAATACGTATGTACGTGTATAACACGATTATTAAAAGGCAATATGTTATACTATTTATTATTAAAAATAAAAATGAAAACAAAATAGGCCCCCAGGTGAAATTAATTAAACTAATCTGAATTAATTAAAAAAATAAAAAAAATTTATTAATTCGAAACTAGATAATTAATTTAAATCTTAAATGCCCAAGTGTCTTAAGGCCCAAGGCCATCTTGTTAATAGTTAAATATTGTACATTCAATGCCCAATTGGCTTCCACTTTGCTCAACTTCCAATTGCCTTGTGTGGGCCAACTTTCAATTACCTAGTCTGGCTCAACTTCCAAGCACCCCATGTATTTTAATAGTATAGCCGTGCGGCTATACTATTCTTCAAAGAAAATTTCGAAAAACCCCGTATAGCCGCGCGGCGATACTATTTATTAAAAGAAACTTAGCAAGAGTGCTGTTTCGGAAAAACAAAAAGGACAAAAAATACAGGCGACGACCTTCAGCACAAAGAAGCAGCATTTGGGGATAGCTGTGTACAACCTTAAGATCAAGTCCCATAACACTCCTTTGCAGCGACGACCTTAATTCAGATATACTTTTTCGTCAATCAAACGAGCATTATCAGACACAACACTACCTTCACTTTAACACCATGAACTTCAACTTCGTAAGGACGCATTTTTGACAGGAAACTGTAAGGAATCATGTTGAGACGAAACAAAAATAGTTTTAGGAATGAGTAATCATGGACGTTCTGTTCATATATGTATATATAGGCTGAGTTTGGTTAATTTATTTAGGTATTGGACAGTGGAAAATTAAAAGTGGTTCGACGCTGTAATTGTATTGATTGTGAAAACATTATATTTGTAAAGGCTATACTCGGTATTTCCTTTTTTAGGAATGAGTAATCATGGACGTCCGGCAATACTATGTATTTTTCAAAAAAAAATTAAAAGAAATAGTGTGGTCACAGGGATATACTCCTTATATATGGCACTATGTTTTTAACACAATTTTTGACACAATTTTTCAACCTTTAGATTAGAATGCATTCAATGGCACACCTTCTTAGTTCTTTAATTAATTGCATAATACAATATCTTTTCTCTTTCTTCATTCATGTTTTAATTTCTTTAATTAAACCTCATTAATTGCCACGCCTTCTGCCATTAACAACCTTTCTCAAACTTTTTCTTCTTCTTCTTCATGCCTGTTACATTATGAGATTGACCAATTAAAAAAGAGTCCCTAAACTAGAGAGCATGATTGGAGTTTAAATTTTATAGAGAGCTCCTAAAATAACTTTTATATGTTTTTAGCTAAAATTTAACTAAAAAATAGGGAGCATGATTGTGAATGCTCTAACTATGTATTTATTGTTATTCTATGTCATTTTGAAAATAAGTCGTATGGTAAAACGATGATTTCTCCAGCCAAGTTTATAGCCAATATTTGATAATGTAGTTATTTGTTGATGGGATCATAGATATCATTCCTTCTAGCTTCTTTGACATCATTACCTTTTTTTTTTCATGTTCTTTTTGTATGTAACAATGTAATTGCATGCAAACATGTAGTAAGGTTGATGAAGTTAGGAGTTATATTGGTATTTTTTTGAATTTTTTTTCATACAAGCAATAGTCTAAACTAGAGGTGAGTTTACCATGGTGTTATAGAGGTTTGAACTTAAGACCACTAGTTTACAAGACAAGACTAAACTCTATTGGCCTATTGATTTTAGAGACAAAAAGAAAAAAAGAAAAAAAAAGAAGGTAGCCCCACTCCTCCCTCATAACCCTGTTGGTATATATGCTTTTGATTATATAGACAAAAAAGGACCCAAAAAAAATAAAATTTGCGTCTGCAACTTCTCTTCTCTATTTACATATATTTCATCTGTAATGAGCCCATTCTTGTTCTGCCTTTGTGCGTTTGACCCATAATAAGAAATATCTACAAAATAGACGGTTTAGATTAATAAATACAATACCGAGTGGGCCCTACAAGGATGTCCCTCAAATATGCTTATTTGAGAGATCCCTCAATTCAAACTCTATATATATAATAGCCCAAATCAGATTATAGATATTAAGTGGAAGGAACATTATCTCGGTCGTAGGATTTTTTGTGCAATCTTTTCCCAAGATTTGAGAGTTTTATCTTGGTAGTTGGTTTTGTATAATGCAACGCTAGCTATTGGGAAGCTCAAGTCAGTAATGCTCTCATCCAGAATACTCACTTTCTCTTGAGCTCTTTTCCTCTTTTCTTCTGTCAGATTTCCATAAAGGAGGGCCAAGTGCGGCAAATCATCTGCAAAGGGAGACATGAAAATAATTATTAGGGTTTGAGTTATGTAACAAGAAGAATACTAGTATTTCTTTTATGCTTCAGTAAAAACTAGTAAGAAGAAAAGTAATATTTGGTGTGAATTCAAAGAGACCGAGATCAACATTAGAAAGATCCTCATTGCTTGTTAAATTGATCTTAAATTTTGAACTGGTAATAAACAAACGACAAATTAAAACCAAAACCTCAGCTCCCAACTGTTTATTCTTTTTAGCAACATTCCAAGTAGAAAGTATGTATGAAGATTATATTTACTTAATAATGAGGAAAAAACTTACGACTGAACATGTCGAAATGTCTGCAGCAGTAATCTAATATCTCATACATCTGAGAAAATATGCAATAAATATGTTAGTAAAATATCAATGAGGGGAGTATTTTTATTTTCTACAAACTGAATAAAAATAAAATATCAACAAAACAAACTGAATAAAATAAAATGAAGGAAAGAACAAGAAGTGGACCTTCTTGAAATAGGGTTGCTGAAAGAGGATGCAAACACACTGGTAATAGGACCTCCTGGTAATCACAGCTTCAACTTTAGGAACGTACCCTTGGATAGGATCCCCTAAGGCTTCAAACTTCTTGAGCACGTAAAGCTGAGTAGCACCATGTATTTCCAGTTATTATCTGGCTGGAAAATGTTGCACAACCCAACTCTTTTCCCAACTTTCTTTCAACTCTCTCAATGAGGTAGGACCCCAAATATTGTGGAATCAATCCTGTGATAGAGTTGGAAGTAAAATTGGAAATAGAGTTAGGTTGTAAAGCATCTTCCATGTGGATGTACGTATATATCTGTCCATGTATGCAAGTGGAAAAATGAAGGCGGACAAACTAATCCAGTGGTAAAGGTAGAGCATACTGAATCTGGTCATGAGATCCTCCAGAAGTGGCATTTGAGATGGCCCACGCAGCCTCCTTTTTTATGTCAAATTCTGCATGTTGGAGAAGTTGCACAAGCGGGAGGATTATATCAGCTTCAATCACAGCCTGTTAAATGGAATTAACTAGACAAAAATTGTAAGAACTGTATCAAGTAAAATCCTCCCAGATCAAATTAATTGCGGGACAAGGCAAGAAACAAGATCAAGGAAACTTCCTACAAGCAAAAGGGATTAAGAAAACAAATTCCAATACATATACAGAGACCATTCAAAACATCCATAGAAAATTTATAAGCATTTTCTTTGCCAAGTAATTATATAACTGGTAAGAAACAATATCAGTCAAAACAAAATAGAAGTGTTAATAAAATAACTAACAAACAAAATCTCCCTTCCTTGTGACAACTAGGCTATGTAAGTGTGGGGCTCTTACCCAACAATCCCCCAACCGATCTACCACTAAATGAAAGAGTACAAATAAAACCATCCAGTTATATCACGCAGTCATCCTACTTGTAGAGATGGTTATGAAACACCAGACACCCACCCTGAACATGAAAACGTAGTACAGTGGATTTAGTGGGTGCCATGCATTAACAAAATGCATGAGATAAGAAAAACTGATAGGTGCAAAATTTACTTATGTTGCGCTACGATTGGTACTTTGGTACCTTTAGAAGAAAATATTTGAATTTGACTTCTTAGTCCATACTGTCTAACAAGAGAAGTAGTGATTTTTATATTTAATAAAATCCACAATTTAAATACACTTATTTGGAACATGATGAACTTCAAATGCTCAAGAAATATATGTTCTTATAAATGCTTTTCTCAATTCATGACAAGTGAGTATCACAACTTTCTTTTCTTGTTTTTATTTTAACATTTGATGCAAACAATTTAAACTAAGTAGTCGAATTTAAATCCAGAAATCCAAATGCAATTTAACGGAATTTATACCTGTATTTGAATTTTATTCCCGGCTGTGATATTTGAAATTGTCCAACAAGCATCTTTCTTGATGCTCTTTTTGTGATTTTGTGTGAGAAGTTGATGGAGGCGAGGGAGCACTTGGTTATCAATAACAAACTGGAACATATACAGAGGTCACTTAGTTGCTATGCATAGCAATGAAAATCAAGGCATTATAAAAAACAAAAACAAAAACATAGAACTGCTGTCCTGAAGGAAGAGCAGATTCGGATGACATTGGGCTCTAAAGGGTAAATACAAATTAGTGTTAATACCTGAGTCTGGGAATCATCACCAGTAACAATGTTTCCCACTGTCCGAAGAGCAGGTATAAGAACCGTAGGTGATGGATGACTGGCATAAACAAATCGTAGTAAATAAAAAATCACTCAAGGTGAGTATCCTAAACAACTATGCTAAGATAATAGTAACCAGTGAAGGCCACTGCCACATGTGAATAGTTTGTAGAGAGTATAGAAACTTACATCAGAAGCTCCATAAGTCGCTGGCAGACGCCCGCTTCAATCACAGCCTGAATTTTGTCATTTGGACCATCTGAGAGATATGATAGGGCCCAGCAAGCGTCTGTCAAGACTTCTTCATCATTTAAGTAAATAAGTTGTCGAAGAACTGGTAAGGCAGGCTTCACCTGAAACAAAAAACATGCAGATAAGCAAGCAGAAAGGGTACTTATTACAGTCACGTAAGGCATCAACCAAAATCAAATTAGGAAGGGATACCAACTGACATTTAACATATATTATTAAGGTTTTAACCAGAAAAAATTCTCAAAATCCCCACTAACCTGATCAAATGGTGTTGCTGGCTTGCCACGACAAAAGTTTGATAAAGTCCATGTAGCATTCCTTAGCATGGATAACTTGGAATGTTCATTTAATTGAGCTAGCAATGGCATTAGTGCACCTTGTCCAAGAACAAGATCCCTGCAACTAGGAGAGTCGCCAGCAACATTTCCTAGAGCCCACACTGCCTGTTAGAGAATCAAGAAAGCGAGGATTGTCATCCAGTACAATCAAACAAATGGAAATTTCTGGCAGTCAAAAGGGAGAGAAACTATGAGTTGTAGAACCAGTAAAACTTAGAACGTAAAGAAGCACATATACCAAAATAATGAGCAGAATACTTTCTGAAACTTATTACTAACTTACATATCATACTGAAATTGGAAAGAATTTCAAACATGCATAACTTAGAATCATTCACAAAGCCCAAATACTTTTTCCCCGTGTTCTGAAGTCAAATTTCTGAAACTTATTAATAACTTATATATCATATTGAAACTGGAAAGTCTTTCAGATATGCATCACTCGAAGTATTTAGAAATTCCAAATCCAAAGGCAATGCTCTCAAGTTGATGAAAAGTGTGAAAGGTAGTGAGAGACAACCTGCTCTCTGACATCATCACTGCCAGAGCTAAGAAGCTGCACAAACATGGGGACCGCACCATGTTCAATAACAACTCGTGTATGATCTGATGTTCCAGATGCAACATTGGTCAAAGCCCATGCAGCTTCAAACTGCATATAAAGAATGAAAGTCAACCTAACGATTACACCTTAAAGGATAATTTCATTTTAACAACAAACATCAAAAATATTCCGTACTTGCAATTGGGGCATATCATGTCTCCCAAGAAACTCCACAAACCGAGGGACCGCACCTGCTTTTATAACCTCGTCAATTGGAGGGCTGCGTTCTACACAAAAACGAAAAAACAAAAGTCAAAAACATCACACGAATATTTCACCAAAATAGGAATAGGAAATGAACTTCAAGTATTGGAGCTGCTCCCAAACCAATTGATAATAGCTTCCTAAACTGAGTGGTAGCCTCCAATTGCAAAGCAGGATCATCAGACCATACTCCTTGCACCATTGAGGGAATACTTTCCAACTGTTAAACAACACCAACATCAATTATTGACCAACCCTTTTAATATAAGATCAAATTGCAAGAAGAGGAACATAAAAAGTCAACTTTCTAAAGATCTCATGCATGAACATTCTTCTTTGCCCCCACGACTTGAACAAAAAAGAAGTAAACTATACAACTTACTTCTTGAATAAAGAATCGAGCTATACAACTTACTTCTTGAATAAACAGAAAATTCTCCGTTGCCTTAAGCAAACTATCGATTCAACATCCCTTATAATCAATTTCTTATAAAACGGTAATTCTCATTTTTAAATCCGTTCCCTTTCCTTCACTTTCTCAGCAACCAAGCACATCCATACACAACTAATCCCACAACAATTCAAACCAAAAAATCAAACACAACCACACGACAACCAACAACAATTCAAACACTACCTAACTAAGAAAAAAAAAAAAAAAAAAAAAAAAAAAAAAAAAAAAAAAAGCGCAAACCACCACCAAAGTATAACCAAGAAGAAAATTTAAAAATAAAATAAAACGAAGTACGCTCGAAAACGACGGCGGTTTGGGTGCCATCAAGCAGTTGCTGCTGGGACGGAGGCAAGCCTTCCCTTCTCTTCTTGAGCAAATTATCCTCGCGCTTGTTCTTCCTGATCTCCACCAAGTTGTCCTCCCTTCTCCTCCGAGCCTGGTCCGCATCCACTCCAGTCTTGTACGATTTCTTGCGCACCTCAGTGCGTGTACCCGGGCGCAGAGACATTGTCTTCTGATTTAGGTTTTGGTTCGCTTTCGGGTCTGTGAAATAGCGCTCGCAAAGTGTTCGATGAAATTACTCAAAAGAAAACCACAGCGAAGAAATGGATTCAGATTTCGGGGTGAGGGGAATATAAAATAAGAAAAATAGGCGGTTCAATAGCGTATAGTCTACGACATCTAACAAACGACATAATTAATAATTTTCTTTTTTCCTGTTGGATAGTTTTCTTTACCAAACTAGAAAAATAAATAAATCTAACAAACAAGCAAGAAACGTCTTCTCTCTCTCTCCGCCTATATAACAAACCAGCAAGAAACGCCTTCTCTCTCTCTCTCTCTCTCGCACACACACACAATTCACCCTAAACTCGGACCCAAACCCGAATCGCCCGTCGTTTTTCTCTCACGGCCATGGACAACGTCTCATCTCTGGACTGCCTGCAATTGGATTCGCAGTCGGAGGTGCTCGATAAGGACGCAGCTATGGTCCCCCTCAACTGTGATACACCAATAATCGGTATGTATGCTTTTCCTTTTTCTTTTAATTCAAGGGTGACCAAGACTATCTTCAATTTAATTACTTAGGGCTCAAAAATGATCTTTTTAGTGCTCCTGTATGCTGTTGATTTTTGTTTTTAGGGTTTGTGATGAAGATTATATGAAATTTCTTGGGCTTTATTCTTTGGAAAAGAGAAATGTGTTGTTTTTATATTATTTTTGTTGTTGCAATTAGAGGGGTTTTTTTTTGGCCAAAATTTCGGTTCAGTTTTTAAAGATGATTCTGCCAGTTGCATGATGGATAGCCGATATGTAATAATATAGTTATTTGTTGATGGTATCTGTGGGAGCAAATATTTTCGTCTCCAATCACAGCGCGCCACGTGGAAAAGAAGATTATCTCTTTTAATTAATTAATTGAACCAGTTTATCTGGCCAATTAATTAATTGGGATAAATATCTTAATTAACATGATATTATCTTTATTTAATAAGATAATATCATTAATTAAGATATTATCCTATTAAAGAGAAGATAATGTCATTATCTCATATATTATCTTCATAAAAAGAGATAATATCATTTAATTCAGATATTATCTCCATAAAAAGAGATAATATCATTAAATCAGATATTATCTCAGTCCGACTCGATCCCTACGAATTTGGGTAGAGAATAAACTCAGCATATTCTCTACGAAACCCTAGCCCCGAGGCTCCTATAAATAGATGACTTCATTCATCATTCAAGGTACATCTAAACCTACTCCTTATACCCGAGAACAATACCCGAAGCTCTCTCTTTCTCCCTCTCCACTCTCCATATTTTCTCCACACAGCTCCGGCCACCACACACGGCTCCGGCCGCTCGGTTCACACCCTACATAAACACTACTCCGTACCCTTTGCTTAGCTATTGTTTTTCTACAAACACTCGAACTAACTTAGGCATCGGAGGGCCTTTGGCCAACACCCCCCGGGTGTGGTATATTTACTCCAATCTGTTTTACAGGAATCGAGGAAGAGAGAGAAGGAAGATCGAAGGTTGAAGGATCTAGAAGCGAATATTCTCCCGTGAGATTATTTGCACAAACATTTGGTGCTTTCATTGAGAGCACGAGTTATACTCAACGCGTGCTCAAGGAATCCGTTCCTCATATTTTCCAATCCACCGAAGCCTTCCAAACAACCATGGTTGGAAGCAAGCGCACGAGGAGTAAAACCGCCGCGATGGCTCAATCCGTGACGGCCCAAAGCCACTCCACCCACGATCCCGCGATCAACATGGTGGCACCACCACCTCTCGCCACCGTGCCACCTACCGGACCCGCAACCGGATCTAGCAACCTCCGTGGCACTGTCGCCGAACATGGTGGACCCTCCCATCAGGGTGGGCTCGTTACCACCACCGACTTAGGCCCGGTCTTGGAGCAACTTCAAGCGTTCCCTCCATTGCCTCCACGCTCGACACACGCTCTCGCGTACACCTCTAGTGAAACCCTAGCCCGTGTGCAATTGGGCTCCACACGCTTATCTCCTCCCGATCCACAAAGTCAAGCAAATCTCAACCTGAGAGTTGACCAGCTACCTCAGAGAGTGGACGACCAAAACGCTCTTATGAGGCAGCTCCTTAATCAAATAAGCGTGGCTCAAAATCTTGGCCTTGGACAACCAGGCGAAGTGAGAAGAATAGACGAACGCACCGGTGGGCAGCTCAACGGGCACCAAGCGGGTCGAGCAGGAGAGAGCAGACAAGGGGATGCACAACCATGTGATCAGCTTGCCGACATATCGCGAGCATCTGCAAGCCACACACAAAGCAACGTGCTAGAAAGGCTCGGCCCACGACTTGACGTCCGTGCTCGCCTGGGCCCGCAGGGGAATGTACTTCAAAGGCTAGGTTCCCAGGGAGATCAAACTGACAATCGCCGCAATGAGGATCGTGAAGAAAGGCGCTCCGCTGCCCACTCGCAGAGAAATATTCACGAAAGGCTAGGCCCCCAGGGAGGTCAACCCGCTAACCCTCGCAATGAGGATCGTGAAGAGAGACACTCCATTGCCCGCTCTCGAAGAACCAACTCTCGCCGTCAAGCTGTAGAAAATCCCTCGCAATCGCAGTCCACCAACACGCCTCCTAGGCAGCGCGGACGAGAGGACCGACCCTTGCAGACCAACGAGGAGGTCAATCAGCGTCGCCCTAATCGCAAAAGTCGCCAACGTGATCGACCAGCACTGCGCGCAGAAGATGTTGAGAAGCTTGTGAATGACCGACTTCGAGACTTGAAGACTGGCGGGAACCTCGAGGATGTACTACGTAAGGAGATGAACCAGGCGATCTCTACTCCTTTCACCCCTGAAATCGAGCAGGCTGCTCCCCCGAAGCGATTCTCAACACCTTCTTTTACGCATTTCAAGGGAGATTCCGATCCCGAGAGCCACCTAAAACACTTCAAAAGTGTCATGATCCTCCACAAGGCCGACGACGCACTGATGTGCAAAGCGTTTGCAATGACATTGCGAGCAACAGCTCAGGACTGGTTCCACACCCTGCCATCTGGGTCGATCAACAGCTTCAAGGAGCTTGCCTATATCTTCACTAAAGAATACACTTCTTATCGGACGATCAAGAAGAACCCAGATCATCTGTTCAACCTGCGCAAGAAGCCCGACGAATCCATTCGAGATTACATCAAGAGGTTCAAAGCAGAAAAGGCCAACATCGTAGGGTGCGACGACCGAATCGCATCATCTGCCTTCAAGAAAGGTCTTCCAGCAGAACACGAGTTATACCGCGAGCTGACTATCACTCCCAGCCAGACTTTAGCAGAGGTCTTCGCGACCGCAGAACGCTACGCGCTCTGGGATGACGATCGAATTGCCGCGAAGAAGTCCCACTGAGCAGGGAGATCGGCAGACCCAACGAGCAGGCCTAAGAAGCGATGGATTTAGCAACAAGAACAAGGACAAGCGCAGGTCACACCCACAAAAGGACACTAAGGCAGGAGAGAACTACACCAAGTTCACTATCCCTATACATCAAATCCTAGCCCATGTGAAAAACAAACCTTGGGTAAGAAGACTGCCACCCTTGAAAGGAGATCCAGACAGGAGGGATACTAGCAAATACTGTGCCTTCCATGGGACGCATGGACACACTACGAACAACTGCTTCGCTTGGAAAGCACACCTCGAAGAACTCGTGAAGAAAGGTCACTGCACAGAATTTATCGCTAAGCAGGCCATCCAACATATAGAGGACCGCGACACCGCCCAAGGAGCCGCCCCAAAAGGTCATAAGGATTAACACAATCCTAGCCGACTCCGAGGAATCTGGGTTGACCAGCAAGGAAAAAAAAGGAAGATCAAACAAGCCACTATGATCTCCCAAAAGAAAGATCTAATCGGCCTTGATCTACCACACAATGACGCTCTTGTCATCAGCATTCAAATCGCTCAGGCCATGGTCGGTCGAATCCGTGCAGACGAGGGCAGTGCAGCCAACATTTTACAATTGACAGTTATCCAACAGATGGGCTTAGAGGCAAAGATCAATAAATCAGCCAAGTCGCTGACTGGTTTCAATGGAGCAACAACGGTTACCGTAGGCACGATAGAGCTCGACGTCTACGCCCCACCTGTAATCAGCTCTCAAACGTTCATGGTCATTGATGAAGTCTCACCCTACAATGACATTCTAGGCAGACCCATGGATCAACAAGATCAACGCCATCACCTCCGCCACACATCAGAAGATTCGCTACCCAATTCCTTGGGGTAGGATCGGCCAAATCAACAGCGATCAGGCAATGGCGAGGAAATGCTCAGCTCAAGGGCTGAAGAAAGGCAAGCAAACACAGTTCCTCCCTGTGAATCAAGCAGATCTAAAGGGAGTAGAACAAGCAGATGAGAAAGCAGATCCCGTTCCTGACGGCCGAGCAGGCCAAAAGGAAAGGGAATAACTACTCCCCAATAGCAATCAAAGAATCAGGACCCAAGTCGAGGGAATCCGTCCGGAGGTCTATCCTGAAGAAGGATGGAAGCCCGAGGAGGACGTTGAGCTAGTACCCCTTGATCCTGACAAGCCAGAGAGAAACAGCGCGGATCGGCTCGCGCCTAAGCCAAGAGGAAAAGGCAGAGCTTGTAGCCTTCCTCCAGAACAACAAAGACGTATTTGCATGGTCACCATCTGACATGCCTGGCATCGATCCCCAGATCATCTGCCATCGCCTACACGTCAACCCAGCCATCAAGCCTGTAGCGCAGAAGAGACGCAACTTCGCCCCCGAGCGAGTCGCCATCATTGAAGCTGAGATCGACAAGCTTCTAGTTGCCGGTTTCATTGAAGAAGTCTCATACGCAGAATGGCTGGCGAACGTTGTTCTAGTAGCAAAAAAAGATAAAGGCCTGTGGAGAGTGTGCGTCGACTATACTGACCTCAACAAGGCATGTCCTAAAGATAACTTTCCACTGCCGAGAATTGACCAGCTCGTCGATTCAACTTCCGGCAATCAACTGCTAAGCTTCATGGACGCCTACTCCGGTTACAACCAGATCATGATGCATGAAGAAGACAAGGCAAAGACCTCTTTCATCATCGAAAGAGGTACCTACTGCCACAAGGTCATGCCCTTTGGGCTGAAGAACGCCGGGGCAACCTACCAAAGGTTGGTGAATAAAATTTTCAAGGAGCAAATCGGCAAGACTATGGGAGTCTACGTAGACGACATGCTAGTCAAAGCTCCCGAGCGAGCAGACCACATCGAGAATCTTGCCGAGGCATTCAGCATACTCCGAAAATACAACATGAAGTTGAACCCGAGCAAATGCACATTTGGAGTCTCGTCCGGCCGATTCCTTGGATACTTAGTCACCCAAAGAGGAATTGAAGCACATCGAAATCAAATCAAGGCTATACTCAACATGAAGTCCCTGCCACAACAAAGAAGATACAAAGTCTAACGGGTAGGGCGGCAGCTCTCAACCGATTCCTCTCTAGATCTACCGACAAATGCAAACCATTTTTCAAAGCCTTGAAGAAGGGACACAAAGATAAGTGGGATGACGAGTGTGAAGTAACTTTTCAAAACTTGAAAACTTACCTCACTTCACCTCCATTGCTCTCAAAGCTGATGCCAGGCAAAGACTTGTACATCTACCTAGCGGTGTCCGACTCAGCTGTCAGCTCAGCTCTCATCCGAGAAGAGCTGGGGGCACAACATCCGGTATTCTACACTTCAAAAGCTCTCCTCGATGCAGAGACTCGCTATCCGAAAATGGAGAAGCTCATTTTTTCGCTTGTGGTTTCTGCGAGAAAGTTAAGGCCCTACTATCAAGCACACCGGATAATTGTCATAACAGAATTTCCTTTGAGATCGATCCTTCACAGCCCCGACGCTTCTCAGCGACTCATGAAATGGGCTATCGAACTCAGTCAATACGACCTCCTCTACCGGCCGAAGACTGCTATAAAAGCCCAAGCTTTAGCAGATTTTGTTGTAGAGTTTACTCCGACAGCCGAAGAAGAGAAGATGGTTACGAAAAGGAAGGAAAAAGAGGACGACACCTCCCCCACCGATTCGAACCTACCTAACGACATGTGGCAGTTGCATGTAGACGGAGCATCAAATCACAAGGGAGCGGGAGCGGGAGTCGTCATAATCACCCCAGACGGAACCTTGTTGGAACAAGCTATCACACTTGGCTTTTCTGCTTCAAACAACGAGGCAGAATATGAGGCACTGCTTGCAGGACTACGCCTAGCGAAAGAACTGTCGATCAAGAGACTGGCCGTCTACTCAGACTCCCAACTGATCACGAATCAAGCCTCAGGCAAATACATGGCAAAGCATCCAAGAATGGTCCAGTACCTCGACAAAGTCCAAGGACTTTTGAAAGAATTCCCTACTTTCACCATCCAACAAATTCCACGGGCAGAGAACACTCATGCAGATGCGTTGGCGAGCCTAGGATCAGCACTGGACACCCATTCAGACGCTCCATCCCAGTTGAACACCTTGACCGGCCAAGCATCGAAGAAATAGAGCCGATCGACTCAATGCAGATTGATGAGGACCCCAGCTGGCAAGACCCCATCATCGACTACTTGGTGAATGGAAACCTGCCAACGGATAAGTCCGAAGCTAGGAAGGTCCAGCAGAAGCCGCGAGATACTATATGCACGGCAGCAAGCTCATCCGTAGATCATACTCCAGCCCTCATCTCACCTGCATAAAGTACCCTCAAACACTTGAAGTCCTCTGCAAAATTCACTCGCCCAGAAAACTCTGAACGTAGGCTATTTCTGGCCTACCATGCGCCACGACTCTGCTGAATATGTCAAAAGATGTGATCGTTGCCAACGATACAAGCCGATCCCTAATCTGCCTGCCGAAGTTTACCATCCGCAAAACAGTCCATTCATGCAATGGGCCATCGACTTAGTGGGTCCCTTGCCACCGGCGCCTGCCAAGAAAGAAATGATGATCGTCGCCACCGACTACTTTACTAAATGGATCGAGGCCGAAGCTCTATCCTCTACTAAAGAAGCCGATGTGGAGTGATTCATCTGGAGAAATATCATCTGCCACAAAACACAACAGTTGTCTATAAGCAGCGTCCTTCGGGAGACGCAGGGCAACGACCAGAAGTGTCATTCGGGAGGCGCAACCCATAAAAGCGTCCTAAGGGAGACGCAGGGTGCGCTAGGAATTTCCTACGGGAGGTATCCAGGTTCCTATCCGTTCCCTAAGGGGGGCAGGATAGTCATATAGTTGCCCATAAGGAGCGTCCTAAGGGAGACGCAGGGCGACGACTAAAAGCGTCCGTTTGGAGACGCAGCCCACTAAAAAAGCGTCCTAAGGGAGACGCAGGGTGCGCCAGGAATTTCTTAAAAGGAGGTCTCTATGCCTCCTGCGGGAAGTATCCAGGTTCCTATCCGTTTCCTAAGGGAGGCAGGATAGTCATACAGTTGCCCATAAAGAGCGTCCTAAGGGAGACGCAGGGCGACGACTAAAAGCGTCCGTTTGGAGACGCAGCCCACTAAAAAAGCGTCCTAAGGGAGACGCAGGGTGCGCCAGGAATTTCTTAAAAGGAGGTCTCCCATGCCTCCTGCGGGAAGTATCCAGGTTCCTATCCGTTTCCTAAGGGAGGCAGGATAGTCATACAGTTGCCCATAAAGAGCGTCCTAAGGGAGACGCAGGGCGACGACTAAAAGCGTCCGTTTGGAGACGCAGCCCACTAAAAAAGCGTCCTAAGGGAGACGCAGGTGCGCCAGGAATTTCTTAAAAGGAGGTCTCCATGCCTCCTGCGGGAAGTATCCAGGTTCCTATCCGTTTCCTAAGGGAGGCAGGATAGTCACACAGTTGCCCATAAGTAGCGTCCTTCGGGAGACGCAGGGCGACGGCCAAGCCATCCTAAAGGGATATGCAGAACATGTTCGAAGTCCTTCAAGGAGAACCCTAGCACTCATGAATCTCCAAAGGGAGATGTGCAATCAAGACACTAGCCGGTTACTCAAGCAGTCCACAAGACAATATGCAAATTAAAGTTGAAAAATGAAGACTGAAATTTTCATAGCAAAGCGACCAACCGGCCAAGTTCAAACAAAAAGAAGATGGTCAAACAAGACCAATTATTCTAAACAAAAGCAGACTACAAAAGCTGAAAAGAAATAAAGGAGTCTTCGTCTACTCCGAAGCGCCAACAGGAGATCCCTGATCTACAGCCTCTTCAGCGTCCGCCTGATCAGCCACGCTTTCAGCAGCTCCACATGCCTGATCTATGACGTCTGCCACCACCTCATCGGCTGCATCCTCCTCAGCTACCGCCTCTTTAGTCACCTGCTCTTCAGCTCCTTCGATGTTCACAGCATTAGCCTCCTCACTTTTCGCAGGGGGCAAGTCTGGATAGAGCATCTCGATGTCTTCATCTCCAATGGCGTAAAAGGGATCATATCCTTTTGTGCAGTCCAGGTAGCCCAACTTGTACGCGTCCATGGCAACTTCGGACTTGGATTCCTCAGCAGACTCATGGTAGGCGTGAAGTCTAGCTAAAAGCTTGTCATAGCTATGAGAGATGTCGGCATTCTTGCACTCAATGTGGAAATAAGCATCTTTTCGACTTGCCAAGTCAGCAGCAGAAGAGTTAAGCTCGGAATCCTTCTCAGCAAGGGAGCTCTTCAACTCAGATATCATCGCCCGCAAATCAGACGTCTTCTTCTCATAACGGGTCTGCTCGGCGGAAAGTTTGCTAACTAACTCGGCATTCTTCTTCTCCAACTCGCTGAGCTGAACAGAAGATGGGGCAACAGCAGACGAGTTCCGAATGGTCTCAGCAGCAAAAACTATTCCCTTTTGAAGCAGATGAAGTGTCGCTTCCTTTTGCTTTTCCAAGGAAAGACTTGAAAAAGTACCAAGATCGCCAGCCTGACGGATTTGGTCAACCAGCTCAGCACAAGAGGATGGACTTGATAGAAATTGCGTCTTTAGCAGATCAGACACGCCTGCATCCCCTGCAGGGCTAGATTTGTCCACCTTTGGATCAGTCGCTGACGTTACAGAAGAACCTTTTGTCGAGGGAGATGACTCTCTTGCTTTCCTAGCCTCCGCCAACCTCACTTCCAAAGGAATTTGCGACGTCGAATCAACTCCATGCTTGACTGCTCATGACTCAACAGTTGAAACATGATGGTTGGATGGATGAGCAGACTGCCCAGATCGACTTCCAATCTTCGACTGGTACAAACGACTCGAATTTCGAAAAGGAGCATCCGCATCTCTTTGCCTCTCAACAAGTGAGCTAGATCGTGCACGGACTACTTTACTGAGCATATCACGATCTCCAAACTCATCAGGCTTGAGCTCTCGAAGACTTGACATCAGCCTTCCTTTTTTAGGGGAGTTTAGCAAAACACTCCTCATGTCCAGCAGGCAGATCATCAAGGCTCGGACCATCCTGCTTCCATCTATCGACATCCTTAGCAGGGGCAGTCCACCAACTTCCTCCTAATCGTTGCTCAGCAGCCGCCAGCAGCCACCGCCGCTCCAATCGTCTTTGGCTGCCAGTAACGATGACAACCAACCTGGTCCCACCCAACTGGTCCTCGCCTTGAAAAAGAGAAGACGAAGGAAAATTTACGTGCTCGACTTACTTTGGGATGCACGGCAACTCCTCTCTTCGACAAGCAGTACAAAATTCTCCAAGATCTTTCTCAAGCTAGAAAGTAAAGAAGTTAAGTTTGCGATGTAAGAAAGAGTGAAGGGAAGCCCTGTATTTATACAAGTTGGACAACCCGGGTCAAGAAGGAATCTCAAGCTCTTTCCTACTGGGAATCCAACTCCAACAACAGTCAGAAGCCTACACCAATTGAGAATCCGATCTGCAAAAGGAGTCCAACTCACAGAAGAAAGCCCAGACTCAGTTGGAGAGCCCGAAAAAAATAATTTCATCTCCTACATGCCACACAAGCGCCATGCAGAAGCTGGGGGGCATTTGTGGGAGCAAATATTTTCGTCTCCAATCACAGCGCGCCACGTGGAAAAGAAGATTATCTCTTTTAATTAATTAATTGAACCAGTTTATCTGGCCAATTAATTAATTGGGATAAATATCTTAATTAACATGATATTATCTTTATTTAATAAGATAATATCATTAATTAAGATATTATCCTATTAAAGAGAAGATAATGTCATTATCTCATATATATCTTCATAAAAAGAGATAATATCATTTAATTCAGATATTATCTCCATAAAAAGAGATAATATCATTAAATCAGATATTATCTCAGTCCGACTCGATCCCTACGAATTTGGGTAGAGAAAATAACTCAGCATATTCTCTACGAAACCCTAGCCCCGAGGCTCCTATAAATAGATGACTTCATTCATCATTCAAGGTACATCTAAACCTACTCCTTATACCCGAGAACAATACCCGAAGCTCTCTCTTTCTCCCTCTCCACTCTCCATATTTTCTCCACACAGCTCCGGCCACCACACACGGCTCCGGCCGCTCGGTTCACACCCTACATAAACACTACTCCGTACCCTTTGCTTAGCTATTGTTTTTCTACAAACACTCGAACTAACTTAGGCATCGGAGGGCCTTTGGCCAACACCCCCCGGGTGTGGTATATTTACTCCAATCTGTTTTACAGGAATCGAGGAAGAGAGAGAAGGAAGATCGAAGGTTGAAGGATCTAGAAGCGAATATTCTCCCGTGAGATTATTTGCACAAACAGTATCATAGATGCAAATTCCTACAAATTTTTTAACATCATCACCCTTCCTTCTCCCTGCTTGCAAACAGAGACTATGACTGAAGAACCAGAGACTACAGAACCAACGGAAGAAGAACGTATTGCTCATTTTTGTAAGCTCTCTATGCATTCGTTGTTATTTCGTGTCATGTTGAAAACAGCTCGTATGTTAAAAGATGATTTCTCAAGCCAAGTTATTTTGGTGTTTGCATGATGTAGAATTGATATTTAATAATATAGTTATTTGATGATGAGATCATAGATGTCGTTCCTTCTAACTTCTTTGACATTATGACCCTTTTTTTGTTCTTTTTTTTCCTTTTGTATTTAACAATGTAATTGCATGGAAACAGGGAGCAAGACTGAAGAATCGGAGGATGAAGAATCAGAGGATGAAGAATCAATGGATGGGAAATCAAAGGATAAAGAACCAGAGGATGACGAATCAGATGATTGGAAATCAGAGGTTGAAGAATCAGATGATGAAAAATCTAAGGATGGAAAAGTTATGGTAAGCAATTGATTTTAGGGACAAAAAAAAAGGAAAAAAAATTGTGCCTTGCAGCTTCTCTTTTTACATGTATATTCATTTTTTTTTATCGTATGACATAATATATATGTATTTGTTGTTATCAATATAATGTGTTCACACTACTGATTTTTGGTTTTATGATCTTCATTCATTCATTGTCTTTAAAATAATGATTATTTTTATTGCTTCCATTGTATTTAACAATGGATCTACAAATTGCACACAGGGGAATGTAAGTATTGTTTGAAGGTGGATAAGCACCCTACACAACTATGCTCTTATAGGTATCGAGTCCCAAAGAACGCAATTGTTGGCGAGAGTTGTGTGGTTGCATGTCGTGTATGTGGCTGCTTCTTTAGAGACTCATGTTGTGCTGATTGTGGTCTGAGCGTAGGACGTGCAATTCTTAAGGAATGTACAATCTGTGGGAAGGAAGAAGAACACTCAAATTTTGAGTGCCCGGAACGTGAGGAGAAACGTAAGAATTCTGGCTTTACTTACGACCCTTATACTGGTTCTTTTTCTGTCGAGATTCGCCCTTTGAAATAGGAGAGAATGAAGAGTTAATTGTACTCTAGAGTTAAAGCAAAAGCGCAAGGAGTGCTATTTTCCATAAATGCTATGCATCCTATCATTTTGATGTCTACATCGTGTATTGTTTTTATCACAAATGAATTGCAATTTGCAGCACATGGTCTATTATATTGTTATGCTTGAAGATGTGAGAATCCATCTATTTATAAAATGTCTAAAGTAAAAGGTGGTTT